ATCTATAATAATTTTTGTTCCTTTGGGTTATATTATAATTTCTCTTCTAGAGGCATTGATTAATTTAGTATTACCCACTATGGTATTAACACTTCCATCTTTTATTGTTAAACAAGTAAAATATTTTTTTATCTTTAAGTATAGTGTACATTGTAGCACTATTCATGAGACATATATCTTCATTCTTGTGTCCAATGAAAGAAAAGGGAATATCCATATTCTTCAACAAAAGAAAGAGAATGTATTAAAATAAATACTTAATAAAATGAAATTAATTCATAGTAATAATGCTTTTATTACAAGAAAACAAGAAAGCTAAATGAAACATAACCTAAATTACAAGAAAACAAGAAACATGCATGAAACATAATCCAAATTATTCTAATTATTTTTCAACCAAACTTGTCTAATCTTGATTTTCAAAGAAATTAGCCACCTCCAAGTGTGTTACAGTATCAAGGCCATTAATATCATTCAACTCATTGATATCATCATTTTTGTATGCAAAATGTGCCTCAACATCATCATTTTGAAAAGTAAAATTTGATTCCACATTATTTGAATTTCTTTTGATAGAGGCTTGATAAAGCTTTGTTAGATGCTCAGGCGTACGACAAGTACGTGACTAATACCCCTTCATACCACACTGATAACACTGATTTTCAATAGCTTTTGAAGGGCCACTCTTACCTCTTTTTTTCCTTCATTATTTTTCTTCTTTTGGTAAGCATTAGGATTATAACTAGTACCACCACCACTATTATAATGGTAATTAGCACGTCCCCTGCCACGATCACATCTACAGCTATAGCCACAGCCACAACCTCGAACACAGTAATTACTATGTATAGCCACATTCACTTCAAAGAATGGAGCTGATCTAGTGGGATGGATTTCATAATTTTTCATCAGCAGCTCATTATTTTGTTCAACCACAAAAAGATAAGAAAAGTTGATTTTCTAATAAGTCTTCATTGTTGATTTTCTCACCACATAATTTCAATTGAGAACTTATTTTAAAAATTGATGAATTATATTCACTTATAGTTTTAAAATCTTGCGACCTCAGATGCATCCATTCATATCGGGCTTTAGGTAAAATTACCATTTTCTGGTGGTCATATCTTTCTTTTAGATTAATCCACAATTCTAGTTGATCTTTTACTATAAGGTACTCAACTTTTAACCCTTCATGAAGATGATGATGAATGAATATCATTGCCTTGGCCTTATCTTAACTACTTGCTTGATTTTCAGGTAAAATTACATTTCCTAAACCTTTGGCATCTAGGTGAATTTCAGCATCTAGCACCCATGATAGATAACTCTTTCCCATAATATCAAGAGCCATAAATTTAAGTTTGGTAAGATTTTCCATGATTCAAACTAAAATAATAATAACAATTAGAATTATACAAAATTAATAAATAAAGCATAATAAATAAATATTATAGTAAAAAAAAATTTCATGCACGCATGCTAAAATATAATTTATAATAAAACACAATAAAAAGAGGCACAATATAAAGAAACACAAATATAAATAACCAAACTTACAAAAAAAAATAAAGCATAATAAATATAAAGAAATGCAGTAAAGCATATAAATTAATGGATAAAACAAATAATTTATATGATAAAACAAATTATATTAACAACATAAATTGATCAATACATGCACATAGACAAACACAAAATGTATAATATGTATATATAATATTAATTTAATGGAAGATCAAAATAATAATAATAAATAAATAAATAATAAAGAAATGAATAATAATAATAATAATAATAATAATCATGATGATGACATCAAATACATAAATATAAAGAAAGAAAAATAAGTATATCAATCTCCATAAAAATATATAACAACAAATAATAAAAATAACGCAATGGATGTCAAATGAGACTTGATTAAATTAAATCACTAATCACATGATTATTTTCAAATGAATAAAATGGAGAAATTTAAAATTACTACATAACTAAGAAAATGAAATGATAGGAAAATAAAACAATAATATATAAGAACAACATAACCATGAATGTTAACAAAACAATAATATAAAATATAGTTATATATATAATATAAGAACACATTAATCTAACTAAAAGCTTATACCTTATTTTCAGAGCCAATTTATGCTGATAACATGTTGTAAAATATAGTCAATATGAAGAGTAGAAAAGGACAAAACAATACAAGAAATGGAGAGAAAATAATGGAGGAGAATTCTTATTCATTAGTATATATATGCTTTGGACATAACCTTTATTTATAGGCCTCCAACCATTCAAGTCCTATCCTAATGTTACAAAGATATAATGAGACCTATAATGGTGTATTATGTAACATTTAAATGTTATAAGTTATTAAGACTAGAAACTCTTTTCATGCCATTGATGAAGACATTAAGGATAAAGGAATCCTAAGGGTTATGAGTTATGGACATCCATAACATAATATTTATAATACTTGGCAATCCTTCTTTTTAATTCTTTTTACAAGACCTACAAGAACACTTCTTTGTAAGAAGCACTTTGATTTGTCTACAAAAATAAAATAAAATAAAATAAAAATTAAACACCTAGAATCTAATAGATCATTTTTTTGAGGAAGCGCTTTGACAAACCTGAACCCAATGGAGCTATAGTGCTTCCATCGTGAAGCGCTCTGGTAAATTGTCTTTATTGTTTTTTTTTAAAGAGTATTCCATCTGTTTTTTAATATAGGAGAATTTCAACAAAGTCATACAATTTAAAAAAATTAGTTGATCAAAATTATTATGTTTGAAATTGAAATGTTTGTGCTTGGACTAAAATGTCCTTGTAATTAATTAATGTTTAATTTTTCCTCTAATTTAATGATACTATCCATTTATGAGGGACCATTTACAAAAATACAGTTAATATTTTTTGAAATTTGTAGTTTTGCTTATAATAAAAAAAAGGCAAAATGACAATTAAATCCCTCATACTATATAAATGACAATTTAGTTTTTTAAAATGCCATAATTTTACTGAAATTTTTAAAAACTTTTGTGTCAATAAGTTTTAAAATAAAAGGATCATTTTACCCTTATTGAAAATAATAAGTCTCAATCACAAATTTTGCTTGAGGAATAACAACTTTTATTTTGTGAATCACAAAAGTTAAACAAAGAATCACAACTTATCAAATATAATTTCTATTATTAAAAAACAAGTTCTCAAAAAAAAAGCCCAAATCATATCTTTTGTTTAAAGAATAATAACTTTTATTCAAAAAATTGCAAGAATTGAACAAGAAATCATAACTTGTCAATAAAGGTATAATGATCTTTTCAATTTAAAATTTATTAACATTGGAGTCCCTAGAAACTTTAGTGTAATTATGACATTTCAAGGGACTAGATTGTCATCTATATAATTTGAGGGCAAAACAAAAACACAAGGCTTTTATATATAAAAACTAAATAGTGTTTGATTTTATAATTCAAATTAATTCCTAGTCCTTATATAAGGAATTATATATACAAATTTGATTGTGATCGAGTATTTTGTTTGACGCTTGAAATCGTTAGAAAAAAAAAAAACCTACGATTGTGGTTGAGGAAAGTTCAACAAAACTATATGTTGTTTTCAATGTGAAATTAAGCATGCTACAAATAATGTTTTTGGTGTGGGTAATCTTTTCTAGTACTCTTGATGAGTTTAGAAAAGTAAACTTATGTGACCAAATGACACAAATGTTTATTTCTAAACCCCAATTTCTTATACTTACAAAAATAAGTATAATTTACATGGTTGGATCGAGAATTAATTTGAGATCAAGAACATATATAGATAATGAGAGAGAGAGAGAGAGCTTTTAAATAGTGAATTTTTGTATACACACTATGAAAAAAAGTCATGTAGTTAGAAACGGAGGGAGTAGTAATGTACTCCTTCCTTCCATTTTTTTATTACAAGAAAAACTGTTATATACATTTTTTATCAGCAAAACTATAAATTTCAAGAAATATTTATCACATATTTCTTAAATTGTTCTTCATGAAGGCAATGTTTATTTTCACAATACAAATTTATTTAATTAATTATAAGGATACTTTAATCCAAATTTTTTAATTTCAAACATAATTATTATACTCAGTCAACTTTATTAAATTATGTGAGTTGATTTTTTTCTTATATTTAAAAACATAGTAGTATATAGATATGCAAAAGACATAGCACATTTTGATCTACCTACCAATTCTACGCGCACAGAACTTTTTTATATTGAAATACCTGATAAATTAATGTTAAGTATTGTCTAAAAACACATTGGAACATGTCACAAAAAAAAAAAAAAAACCTGCATAACCTAAGAAACAAAATGAAAAGGGTGCACCACAAAGGTTAATCTGGTTAATAAGGATTTAGCCTATGAACTATGAAGTTGTGATTGTAAATTCCATTGCTAATGTAAAGACTTTGTTAGTAAATAATCTTAAGTTGCTATTTGATCTTGCAAGGTATGCCCTAGTCCTAGTGAGCCTTTGAGACCCAACTTACCAAAACATTTTTATCCTAAAAAACAATGAAAAGGGCGCCAGTTCCTCAATAATGGTTGTAAAAAATGATAAGGAGGATGGATGTTTGAATAGAAGTTATAAAAACTTTAAAATTAATTTTAAAAAATAATTATTAATTAATGTCCATGATTTTTTGCAAACGCATTAACTAACTTTCTTTATCAGAGGAAAATCATTGTGGCCCGGAAATCCAGAGTAGTTATGGCTCAAACACCAATGGAATTTTGCCTAAATAAATTTCTTTTAAGTATAATCAGACAAATTTCCATATGAGCATTCAATTTGCAAAAACGAAGGTGACAAAGAAGAGCAATTTAAGACATTCATGAATCAGCATTTGGTTCATCAGAAAAACAAACTCTTTGCTTCTCTTGTTGAAGCCGATCGATCTAGAATAATAAAACCAGTACTTTCTGTAGATTTAAAGGGTTTTGAAGTATGGGTTTGTCCTCGAAGCTATTATCAATATTTGTGATAGCGATAGTGATGATGATCACGACGACATCATTTATGATGGTGAAAGCAGATTCATCAAACAACTATGGAGATGCATTAACGAAGAGTATTTTGTTCTTTGAAGGCCAAAGGTCAGGCAAGTTGCCACCTTCTCAGTGTATGACCTGGCGAAAAGACTCTGCTCTTAATGATGGCTTCGATGCTCATGTAATTATAATCTCTCTCTAACATATTCAATTATAATCAGTTTTTAAATAACATGTTCCTATGTCAATGATCAGCTTGACATGTTTGGAGGGTACTATGATGCCGGAGACAACGTAAAGTTTCATTTTCCGATGGCATTCTCAACGACGATGTTGGGTTGGGGAGTCTTAGAATTCGGAAACTCCATGGAATCAGATCTTCAAAATGCTTTGGAAGCAATCAGATGGGGAAGTGACTACTTCGTGCAAGCCACACGGATTCATAATCTCGTTGTGGCTCAAATTGGAGAGCCCTATGGTGACCATGATTGTTGGGAGAGACCAGAAGACACGGACACTCCCAGAAACACTTATGTTCTCACTCCAGACAAGCCTGGTTCAGAGCTTTCTGCAGAAATTGCTGGTTCTCTTGCTGCTTCTTCCATGGCGTTTAGGGCTTCTGATCCTCAATATTCTAAACTGCTTCTTAGCCAGGCCATACGGGTATGGATGTCTGTATATACGTTGGATATTATTCAGATATTCTGAATTTGTAAAGTTTCTTGAAGTAAACTTTGGACTGACTGTGACATTATCTTGATCCCCAACAAGTATACATATATGTATTGTGATGGTTTGCAACATACGTCTTAGAGGCAGAAGAGAGAGAGAGAGAGAGAGAGAGAGAGAGAGAGAATAGTAGACAATATCTAACTAGCAAATGGGGGACATTGTTATCTAGATAAATGCAGTGCCATTTCAAAGCCTCAAAATTGGGTTAGCCCTGATTACGGGAGTAGAGGACGTTGATATTTGTGGCTTCTTCAATATGAAGAGCTTGTAGACTCATATTTAAGTTGAGAAGGAGATTGTTAGGATATCTAAATACAAGTAAACTTAGCTAATACATAGATAAAATAATTTTAGGAAATCCAAATTACTTATGATGGGCAAGTGGGGCCCATCACTCTCAGTCTCTCTTCCCACTTAATAGTTACAAATGATGTATTGTGCATGTGTCTGCGCCTGCGCACATGCATGTATATATATGTATGTATAAATGTCAAGGTACCCAATCCTCACAGTACACTTTACAAAAAAATGTTGAGAGAGAGAGAGAGAGATACAGAAGAATAGATCTAAATTCTGAAAACACGGGTCCCATCTCTCTCTATATCTCTTCACATTTTAAGAGATCCAAATTGGTCTATCTTTGTGTTTCAGTTTTGTGATCAATTGAATTTCTCAACTTGATTTCATCCAAACCATCATTAAATGTTAGTTTTGACAACAATGTTGCAGGCATTTGACTTTGCAAATAACAATCATGGATCTTACAACGACAGTATAGGTAGTGCAGCATGCCCCTTCTACTGTGATTTCAGTGGCTACATGGTATGTCCTTATTGAAAAACTCTAGCCTTATCAATCTTTAAATTTTATCTTTACGTTAATTTGTCTCTTAAAGGTTTATAAGATGATACATACAATCTTTTTCCAAAATAAATAATTGATGGAATTAATTAAAATTAAGTTTCTAATAAGGGCCTTTGTTTGTAATTTTTGGATTCTGTTTTGCAATTTTCTTATTTTTTTTGTAATTTTTAAGTCATTTTTTGTAATTTTTTGGTCAATTACAATTCAAAATTAATTTTGTTAACGGTAAAGGCAATGTATTGCACTAATTTTAAAAGTTAAAGGGGAATATTATTGTATAAAAAATGAGTTTAGGATTTCAAACATTCCTCAACTTAGTGGCAGTGTAAGACCCTAGGCTATGGGGCGCAACATTTTAAAATTAATAGTTTAAAATAATTAAGAAAAATTTTGAACACAAATTTTTAAAGTTTGTCCAAGTGTGCAAAATATTTGAGTCAAAAGATGCAAAATATTAGAATATATATAACTTTCTTGTAATTTTCTCCAAGTCCAAGGAGTGCATTTGCCCTCCTTGGCTTCAATGTAGTACCTAGTACCGCTCGTGCCTAAATTTATAGTTTAAGGGTAAAATTAGTCTTCAACTCTTTTTTAACAATATTACTTTTAAAGATTAAAATTATAATTATATGGGAATAAAGTCATATTGGTTTCATTGTGATTGAACATTTGTTGAACCAAATATATAATTAATAATTTTACATATATGCATTATTGAAAATAAAAAAAAATCAAGTTTCACCCATTTTTGACCGGTTTCCAACGGAATTGATGATGACAACATTTCAAATCATACTAGGATTTGATTTGCCAATTCATCAATTGGAATTGGTTCAATCTAGTTGTAAAAATATATTGATATACTGTGTTATATATTTTGGATTCAGGATGAGTTGCTTTGGGGAGCAGCATGGTTGTACAAGGCAACAAAAATGAGGAAACATTGGAACTTTGTGAAAGAAAACATAGGAAGCATGGAAAGCGCAAATGTGATTAGGAGCATCAAAGGAGCTTCAGTTCTATTGACTGGTGGAGGCTTTACTGAATTTGGATGCGACTGCAAGAATGCTGGAATTAATGTTCTTGTTTCAAAGGTATTTGTTTATAGTATTGATCGAGTTGGTTCTAGAGCTAGTAATTCAAATGAGCCAAGTTTATTTGGGCCAACTTAAATAAATTTGAACTTACAAACAAAGCTTATATATCCAAATCTAGCCCCAACAATTTAGGTTTTACTTCCACACTTATTTGAGGACTCAAATACACGAGTTATCAAAAAAAAAAAGTTGGATTTGACTTGAATCATCAGTTCCTACGATGTGACATATATGCAATACAATGATAAAAGACAAATCAATATAGATAGTCCAGATATTTTTAATAGGATTGGATTGAAATTAATAAAAAGAGTATTATATAGAATCCAAATCTAAAAATTCCATAGTTGAAAAATGTAACTAATATTTTGCATGAGTTAGTTTCTAATATTTGTTGATTGAGACTATATCCATCTATTTATTACTGCATAGACAAAATCAATCAACATATTAGATGGTAATAGAATAAAAGCACTATTATATTATTATTTAGTGATGTGACTGTTTATTTTTAATTAGTTAATTGTTTATTAAATTTCTAAATAGATTTTGTTTTTAATTTGGCAGTGGGTAATGACCAAGCCTTCCCGTGCCAGTCCTTTTATTCCGAATGCAGACAATTTTGTGTGCTCTGCATTGTCCAATTCTCCAACCAAATCACTCTTTTACTCTAAAGGTAATATATTTCAAACTAGTTTTTTACTTATGAATAATATGATTATAGGAATTTCTATAATTTTTATATATTTCATGTATTCAAATCTATATAACCTCATAAATGTGCAAAATTTTCCTTATTCTTTTCTCATTAGTGCAAAAATATTTGCTTGATCGTTTCTGGCTTTTTGCCAAAGATATAATCTCGTAATATTTTTGTCTTAATTGATTGCTTATTTTATTTCCTTATTTTACTATTTCCATATAACTTTTAAAACATTCAACAACTTTTCATGATAATTAAATATATAATTTTTTTTGTTAGCAGTAAATATGTTTTTCCTGTGCATCGCGCAAATCAATTTGAAATGAGTTGTATACTAATCATGTTCTATAAATTATTCATAAATAATCTGACTTGGTCTAAATTTAATATTTTTATTCTGAACTATCCAAATAGTTGAAAATTAAATGGAAAGAAAATATTCCATTCATTTCTTCATTAAACACTTTTAACATTTAAAATTATACTCCTCTAATTCTATTTATAAGTTATTTTTAAGATGTTTTATTGAAATAAAAAAAACCTCAAGACGCAATACTTCTATCTAAATTTATCGCACGCACGCTTCCCTTTAATTTTTGGGGTGCAATTTTACAATTTCAATGCAATGATTTATGATTGTAGGCTAACAAACGCTAGTGTAAAATACTAGTTTTCACATATATCCATTAAATGTACATTTTTGTATCACTATACAAGGTAAAAATTATTAATTTTCACTCTAAATATTACACGAAGTTTGGGATGCACATTATTGAATTTATTTACAATATTAACACTAGATTTATTGCCATTTCAATTCAATTCGCCATATATAGTTGAGGTAAAAATAATGACATTATCTTCATATTTTGTGCTAGTGCGATTATATACTAGAGTTGGCCTTGGCTCTTGTGCATTGCAGAGAGCTTGAGATGGATGACACCTTCATCTTTTGAATATGACTTGATATAACTTTAATAGATATTACTTCAATCCTTATTATAGGGTGCCTTCTAGAAATATTTTTTGGTCCTTAAAATAAAATACTTAATGGGTAATAATTACATTTTTTTCAATATTATCCCTATTTAAATTCATTAACTATAAGAGATAATGTAATATAAATTTAAATTATTTTCATTTCAATAGGGTAAGATTGAAAGTTTATTATATTTTTAGACAAAATTACTGATTTGACCACCTTTCATTCATTCTGGTGAAGTAGTCAGAAATGCCTTGTAATAAGAATGGGGGGGAGTATATGCTAATGAATTTGGTTTTACACAGATTATATGTATATATTAGATATTTTTATACTGAACTAAATTAATTAGGTCATCTTTGAATATCTATTTATGATTTTTGAATTTGACTTGGTACAGTTTTTATGAATATACAATTGAACTGTGATTTCATTTTAGGTTGATTATATTCTAGGAAGCAACCCATTAGGGATGTCATACATGGTGGGATATGGCAACAAGTTTCCACAGAAGATCCACCACCGTGGTTCAACCTTGCCTTCATTAGACCAACATCCACAGCAGATTAAGTGTCGTGACGGAGATCAATACTTCAAAACCAATGCACCGAACCCTAACGTCCTTGTTGGCGCCGTGGTCGGAGGTCCGGCAGAAGATGACACTTTTGAAGACTCAAGATATAATGTTGGTCAATCTGAGCCTACTACTTACCTTAATGCTCCTTTTGTGGGTCTTGTCGTTTACTTCAAATCACCTCAAGCTTCTTCTGGCTTTGTTAAATTTGATTGGCTTTAGGAATTTTTCTAACTAGAATAGATTGATTATTCAGGAGATAACGTTGGATTCAATAAAAGAAGATAAAAATCATTAAATAATTTTTTAGTTTCTTGTTGTGATGAAATATGAAATGCTAAAAATTGAAATTAGATGGTGCAGATTTAATTTAGTATAATTTTAATTTTTAAATTTTATTTTAATAAATATAAAAGTAAAAACAAAAACAATCCTTTAAAAAATAGTTACTTAATTAAAACAAAAATAACTACAAATTTAAAATTTGATTAGCCTAAACCTCAGAGTATGGAATTTGAACACTATTTTATGGTGGATTGATTTGAATAGATTATCAAATTTAATATCAAATAAATTTTAATCAAATCATTATTAAATATTAAAAGTTATTACTAAAACATTTAAATCGTATGCTTTTATGATTTAATTAAGTTGATTATTGATAATTACCAATAATCAATATTCAGTATATATAAATAATCATATCAATATATATATATATATATATATGCATATAATCTGTAAGAAGTGGTGTAACTCATAAGCTTGTGATTCACCTTGGACTTGGGGCAACACACAGGCCCATATGTTTTGTTATCATGTCATAAAAATGATAACAACTTCAGCTTAAGGTTGGAGAAGAATCATACTCTAAAGCTAACAAAACATTAGACTAAGTTGGTAAGAGATTTGTAAGTAGTGCTCTTTGAATTTAGAGATATGTTATAGTTTTGGTGAGCTTATGAGATCCAACTCACTTAAACTTTAAATGAAAGAAAACATTAACTTCAAGCCTAAGATCTACATTATATTTAAACTAGCTCAAGATTTGTTTGTTTAACATCCCAATCTAGGTTGGGTTCGCCGAACCAATGGTGGGATGTTAAAAGCCCATCACCTAGTAATAAGTTTTGTTTATAAAAAATAAAGCTTGAACTTGCAATGGGAGAATAAGAGCATTATGAGGGAAGCTAAATAAAGTCTTTTCCTCTCTTCACCTCCTCCTTGGCACAAACCTGACCACCCGTTGTGGTCATTGCCATTGCCATTCGAGAAAATATTCCGTCGACCGTGTTGCTTGCCTATCGTGGTCTATTGCTCGCCATTGAGAGTTGTGTCGACTGCTTCGTGATCCTTTCTTCTTCTTGCATATGAGAATTGATCACCTACTTCTTCTCGCTGCTGATTTGCATGTCCCTTCCTTCAGTGGTCGTCGTTCACTACCTAGCTACCGTGTTCAAGTTTGCTGCATCTACTTCCTGTTGCCTTCGCCGTTATTCCCGGCATCATATATTGTGGGTCTGCACTGTAATTGATTTATTTGTAATAATTGATCTTACGGCAATTTATTGGTTTTGTTTTGTGTTTGTGATCTTCGATTTATGTTGGGTCGCATCTTGCTATTTCTCAAAGATTCATTTTCACATGAATATGTATCTTTTTCATTGACAACATGCATAGTATACTTATTTGAGTCCAGTATTTATAATTATAGCACGTATTTTTCTTTTCTAAGTTTGCAGGTTGTTTTGAGAATTTAATGTTCTTAGTATCAGATAGTCACAAAGGGGTGCATGCATGGGCTGTTGCCCCCCATACTTCAATTTTTTTTTCAAAAAAATGAGTATACTTAATAATTTTGTTTATGAAAAATGTAGAAATCAATGTTAGTCCCCACATTTAGATAAAATTTCAGTATATAATGATTTCTAGATTCATCCCTGGGATCAAAGTGGTGATATACTTTCGTGAAATTTGAGTATGTAAATATGAGGACATGGCATTTGTGAAGAGTATGTAATGTAGATTTCTTGTCATAAATTTTATTGTAGTTTTAAAGATTAATTATTAAATAACAGCGAAACTCCCAAGATTTTCTTCCTGGGCAGGTAATTTAAAGTTTATGGTTATGAATCTTTACATGGATGACTGTGTTCATTAATCTGCGATCTGTGAACTCTGTTGTTGAGCAGAATTACCTGTCATCACAATCGTTAATTGATCTTACATACTGTGCACTTTGAAAGACACTGATTCTTAATTAAATCCATGCTTTAGTTGATTAAATCAACTTGAACAATCATTCTTGAGAAGTAGCATGTGAGCTAACAAAATTATGCACTGACTGGCATTTTCATATTACCTTTTCTTGATGCCTACTTTTGTTCTGTTTGGTCTTTCATTGTATAAAACACAAGCTGAAATAGTTTAACCAAAATGGCAATACATAATTTATCAAGAGAAATTCAATTATATTGATGTGCAATTTATATGAGCTGAAGATGAAAATGTAGATGAGCATGAGTAAGGTACAAATTGTGAGGTACCTTCGTCAAATCTACCTAAATTATTAAGACACGCATCATGTTTGTGATATAATTAGAGAACAAATTGTGGATCATATGAATTAAATATTTTGTAATTTATGGATTTATTTTACCCTTTCAGATTATATTGAATATTTTTACAACTTTAGAGGATCCATTCCTAGTTGTATCATACATACATACAAACATACACATACTTGCTTTACATAACATTACGTACAAGGGTCAATACAAATGAATGAGATCATACGTATGGGTGATGCTTCAATAACTTCATCAACCCCCCCCCTCTCTCTTTCTCTATGCATATACACACATATATTCTTCCATATATGACTAAAATGAATAATGAATCATAGAAAATATTATAGCTAGGATGATGAATGTGAGTTGAAGTAAGCCAAAGCACCCACAAGAGGAGCATTAATGTAAGTGGTAGGTTCAGAGCGAGTAAAGTCAACTCGAGAATCAGAGTAAGAATCTCTAAGATCAGGTCCTCCAACCACAGCACCTACAAGCAAATTAGGGTTAGGGTTTTGGGATTCAAAATAAGCAGAGCCTCCTTTGCAAGTTATGTGAACTGGATGATCATCTAAAGAAGGCAACGATGAAGCTCGATGATGTATTCTATGAGGGAATTTTGGTCCATATCCCACCATATATGACATCTTCAATGGGTTGTTTCCAAGTATGTAGTCCACCTATTTGGCCATAATCAAAACATTACAAATTAATATATATATATATATATATATAAGAACTTTGGCACTAACAAACAAATTGATCAATATATGTTATAATAAACTAAAACCATACACACACACACACATATATATATATATATAAACTTTTACCATGCATGCACTAATGTGACATCAATATATAAAATTAGACCACTTGTTACTATTCATTGAAGTGTCTAGGAAAATGACAATAAAATCCATTTGAATTATATAAATGACATTTTGATCCCTTAAAATGTCATAATTTCCCTAACTTCCCTAGGGACTTTTCTATCATTAAAGAATTAATATAAATGACCAAATGGCCTTTAGCTCAAGATTTCAAATGTGTATTTTTGAATTTCTATTGCATTATTGCAAGTTTAAGAAGAAAAATTGTGAATCTTAAAATAAAACTTATGAATGGTAATTGATATTTACAACACTTGAGAAATATCAAGATTTCAAATGCAAAATTCCGAATTGTTGTTGAATTTTGTCAATTTTAAGAAAAAAGTTGTAAATCTTGGAACAAAACTTGTGAATGACAATTGATATTTGCTACACTTGAGAAATATCAGAATTTTAAATGCGAACTTACGAATTGCTTGAATTCTTGTGATTTTAAGAAGAAAAGTTGTGAATCTTGAAATAAAACTTGTAAATAGCAATTGATATTTCAACTAAGAAAAATTTGATCATTTATATTAATTTCTTAATAACAGAAAAGTTTTTAGGGACTTCATTGGTATTATAGCATTTTAAGGGACCAAATTGTTATTTATATAATTCGAAGGGATTTTATTGTCATTTTTTCAAGTATCTATGCATTTATATTTTAAAAGATTTGAATATTCTCATAAAATGTAGAGAGAATGATGGAATGACAATTAGATCCCAACACATTAAATTAATGATAGTTAAGTTCTTGATAGATTTTTTTGAAAATGAATTGTGAATATCAATTTAAACATATACAAATAAACATTTCTAATATAATTGTATTTACTTTTGAAACTTAAATGTCTCATCTATAATTGAAAATTTTGAATTTGTACTGTTTGGATTGATATTTGCAACTTATTTTTCATGAAATTTTGTCAAGGATCTAACAATCGTTAATTTTAAATTTTGAGACTTAATTGTTATTCTTTTGATCCTAAAATCAAACATAAGTGTAAAATTTTCTAGACCAATTGACTTCTAATAGGTAGATTGATCCATAGATCCCAACTAATTTATAGATTGAGTCAAATCAAACATGAGTATTAAACTTTCTAGATGATATATTTTTTTTTAATTTGAGAACTTAGTTAAAGAGAATAACCATGGGTGACATGAAGCCTTGTGGTAGGTGACCTAGCACCATGTGGAGGTGACATGGTAACATGTGGCATAGTTCAATAGCATCACTTTTCAAAGGCAACTTTTGTTGCCATTGATTAATAGGTTCTGCAACTACAAAAGTCATTGTTGATTCTCGATATTCAGCGGTGATTATTTTTTAGTGGCAACAATTTTTGCTTTTTATAGCAACATTTGTCACTATTGATTATATACATTTAGAAGCAACTTTTGTCGCCATTGCAAATATAACCAATGATAGAAGCTCTTGTGGCGCCTTGACCCAACTATGATATGGTGTTTTAATCTTTAATTTAATTAGACAGGCTTATTAACTCATATATATAATTGGAAATTTCAATTAGGGATAATAAAACTTTTAATCGTTTAAGTTTGCTTCAACTATCAATTTGGTCCCTCAAATTTAATTTTTGTTGATTTGATCCCTTATGTTTTTCTTAAATTACCATGCAAGTCCTTTAAGTTTCAAAACATAAATTGACTCTCAAAACAATCTTATATGTAGATTTTATTCATGACTTGGCATGCATATATAGCTAAATGAAAAAAAAAATAACCCTCAAATTAGTTTAATTTTTTATCAATATAATCCCTTTTATTGTGTGTTGTGCTCTTGTTTTTTGAAATTTCAAAGTTTGTTTTTTCTTTACCTAATTAATTATTCTTCTTTTCATTAACTGCCATCAATATTTTACTATCACTGTCAACAAATTTTTACAATGTAACCTTATTTTCAAACAATTGGGGACCAAATCAATAATCAAAGTAAACTTAAGGGAATAAATTAATAAAAATTAAACTTAAGAAACCAAATTGATAATTAAGACAAACTTAAAGGATTGAAAGTTGCATTATCCCTTTAAATTAAATCAAACATAAGCTTAAAACTTTTCAGACGATAATTTGTTTTTGGAACTTTTGGGAACTTAGTTCATGAGAATAACCGCTTGAACTAACTAACATATGGTGTTTTAATCTTTAATTTGATTTAAAATTTGATTAGACAGTCTCCTTAACTTACATATATAATTGGAAATTTAAATTAAATAACCCATTAATTCATTTATTGTTTATTAATGTGATATTATCAAATATAAAAGCAAAAAATACATTACTATTCATGAAATTAAAATAATAATCTAATTAATTACCTGGCCTCTTGCAAATTGGACAAGTCTTTTCGGAGAAGCAACGACATCACCGCCGCAGTTGATTTGTGAATTTGATTCATTCAAGTAGGAAGCATAAACCAGAAAAAGAAAAGAGTATGAAGTTGCATGCTGCATGTTACTCCCTCTACCCTTGAACAAAATCCCACCTGCTTTTGCCAAAGATATCAATTCATACTGATTATTATAACTTGTTTAATTTAGCATGCAGACTAAATAATAAATAAATAAATGAATAGAATGAAAAAGTAATTTTTTAGATAAAAAATTGTCAATATGCTCCTGAATTAATAAAGTAATACGAAAGAATGATTCCTATCAAGGAGAACTAGTTTAGAATGTATTTCAAGTGTCGTATGAAATTTGATAAATGAGATGCATTGTTCATCATTCGTAAAATATAGTGTAGCTTATTAGAATTTTTACATTATATACGAAATATTAGATAGGTTCCATATAATAGACAAAATTTACATCTACTTATACATATTTTTAGATTATGAGGTTTTTCTTATGTTTTTATAAGATTACAAAACTTTCTTTTTATTTTAAAAACATGCGAACACTACTTCCTCTGAAATAATAATCTAATTAAATTAAACAAATTATCATCCTTAAGTTTTGTTAAACCAATTACCTGGAGAGTATGAGACAGAGGCTGTAGGTGACTCAGGAAGCACAGCACATACAAACTTGTTTGCATTGGGAATGAAAGGCTTATTAGCAGATGGACTATTTATCACAAACTGTTAATTTAAGGAAAATCAAAAGGTTAGATAGAAATATTAAATCTAGATTGTGTTGAGTGAAAATTAGGGTTTTGAAATACATAACGAAATTAAAGAGTCTGTGAATGGGAGAAGTTTGAATATGGATCAAATATGGAGACATCATATTCTATTGCATGAAATTCGAGGTATAAAATCTCTATCATATTTTTATTATTATCTAACAATAAATTTTTAAAAACTCTTAATTAATCTAATCATTTTGTCTAATCTGTGTTTGATTTTAAAAATGTCTTAAAAAAAACAATGGAAGGAGTTTTTTATTAATAACTTTTATGCTGTACGGGGACATAAATTTTTATTTTTTCCATTTCACTTTATTTTCTATTTCATTCCACTCTCGGAATCAAATGAGACATTTTTAGTTAATGTAACTTTATTCAGGGATTCAAATTAGAAATTCTAGATGAACATTACCTTGAATCAGCCAAAAAAAAGACATATATATACCTTAGAAATAAGAACATTAATGCCAGCATCCTTTGTGTCCCATCCAAATTCACCAAAGTTGTTCAGGCTGTGAATGTTTTTGTTGACATAATTCCAATATTTAGGGAGTTTAGTAGCCTTGAACAGCCATGCTGCTCCCCACACCAATTCATCCTATTATCATTATTGAGAAATTGCATTAAAAATAATCATATACTGAAATAAATTACATATGCATATTTCTTTCCATATTTTCAAAATTAGTAAAAATACTTTCAATTTCGTTAAAGTTATTATTGCACATACCTCCCTTTTATTTTCCAATCATACATAGACATTTCTTGAAAGGAAGAATAAATAACATATTTATATATTTTAAATAATTTGTGGTTTTGAAATTAAAAACACAAACAGCTCAATTTCAGTAAAGTTATGGAAGATCTGATTAATTTATTCAAATAAAAAATTATCCATATTAATCAAAGCTATGATCACGGTTATGAATAGTTAGTATGCTTTTTCTTGCACTCCCTAAATTAACCAAAAAGCTCAATTTTACATTCTACACTTGTTCATTTTTGAATTCCCGTGACAATAAGCACAAAATCTTCAAATGCAAAAATATAAAGAATAAATTGTTATTAATCTGTCCCTGATAATAAATACATATAATGGATGAATCTAGACGAGAGGCCTACCTGGTAGCCACCAAGATTACAATAAAAAGGGCAAACCCAAGGTCCAAGGCTGTCATTATATGATCCTCTGTACTTATCAGCAAACTCAAAAACCTGATCATTCACAATTAAACATAGAAAAAGAATGTCATTGGCCATCATTTTTTTATAGAATAAAAGATATAACTAAAGAACCTTTTGTGCAATAAGGAACCAAAGTACAGATCAGAGTGACTTTAATTTGAGCCGCATTGTTTTTCCTCATTAGAATGTTATAATTAGCATGTGAAGGCATGCGATAGTGAACACATTTCTCACTTTCCATGGATTTATATTAACTGTGAGAACACTTCACATGGATTTTATCTTTAAGAATTTCCAATGGAATTGATGTCCGTGAGAACTTTATAGAGAAAAAAAAAGAGAAAATTAATATGCAGGTCCTTTTAATTTTTCTCAATCTTAAATTAAGTCCCTATAATTTATTTTATTTTAATCAAGCTCTTATTATTTGATCAATTAAATATGTTAACCACTTAATCCCTATAATTAAGGGTTTAATTAAATATTTTAGAAAAATGAACTTTAGAACTTTTATGCTTTTATTAAAAGATTATATAACTTTAGAATTAATTACATAATTTTTGTAACTCAAGATTTATATAATTAGGTTATGTTTTATAAGTAACTTATATATATGTATATTGAATTTTTATAAACAAAACTAGTAAAAATGTAAACTTTGTATTAAATCAATTTTTCTACAAAATTTTAAAAGTTCTTTTAATTTTGAGAAATTAATCATACATTAATAATTTTAACCTTAAGGGATTGATATATTTAATCGATTAAATTGTAAGGGCTCGATTTTTTTTTCTAAATTATAAAGGCTTGATTAAAATAAAATAAAATGCAAAGACCTATAATTTGAAATCGACAAAAACTAAAAGGACTTGTATATTAATTTTTCCAAAATAAAATATACAAGACCTTTGATTAGGAAAACCTGTTCTCATGAAAATTTCTCTCTTCCCATTGATTTGATCTGTGAGAAAACCACTGCCTTTTTTAGCGTAATGACTTGTGGGGAAATAATTGAAGGACATACATACCATTCTAGCCCTATTGAGAAGCCTTGAAGAATAGCCAAGATTATGCTTTTTAAACACAATGGAAGAAGCAGCAAGTGCAGCAGAAATCTCCCCAGAAACTTCACTTCCAGGGAAGTTTTTACCCACAGCAAATGCTCTTCTTGAAGTGTCCATATCTTCAGGTCTCTCCCAGCAACTATGGTCAGCATTAGGGTCACCAACCACCGCGAACACATACCCAGGAACGCCCGTGGCTTTCATCAGATAGTCTGTGCCCCAACGAACAGCGTCGAGTGCATATTTTAGATCTGATCTTCCCATGAATTTCCCAAACTCTATCACACTCCACGCCAACATTGTTGTTGAAAATGCCATTGGGAAGTTGAACTTAACGTTGTCTCCTGCATCGTAGTATCCTCCTACTAGGTCCACCTATTTAGATTAATAAGGTAGACTTGAATTAGATTGAATTGAATGTTAAGAGGCATTTGAATGTGAAACATTTTTAATATCCATGGTAAGTGCTATGGAGATTTTGGGATTTCTGGTATTTGTTGTCCTCTATGCTACCCATAATGCCCAAAATCTCAGCTCTTCGTTTAAGAGAAATTAGATGAAATTTCTCCTATCATTAGCTGAGATGAAATGTTGAGATTTTGGATATTTGAGCACGGATACCCTAAATCTAGATGGATTTTTGGTTAAAAAATTTCTATCTTGAGATTCCAAAGAGTCCAAAACAAAAAAAAAAAGATCTGCAAGATAAAACAAAATAATTTAAACTACGAGAGATGATGAAGAGAAGAAAAATAAATTTACTTTTGTATTAAGGAAATGATCTGGGGAGAGAGTGTGAGGAATCTGAAAGCCATCTCTGAGAGCAGAATCTTTCCTCCAAGTTATCCTTTGGTTTGATGGTAGCTTCCCTGATCTCTGCCCTTCAAAGAACAAAATGCTCTTTGTTAATGCTTCTCCATAATTCTCTGAAGCCATGCTCTCTTGAGTCATCAACACCGCCATTATTAACAAAATACCCACCGCAATCATCACCATACCCATCTCTCTCTTCTCTTCTCTTCTCTTCTCTTCTCTTTCTCTCTCGCTTTTGAGAATAATGAAACCAAGTTTATCTCTTTGTCTGCTTATTTGGAAGAGACGAGGTTTATATAATAACAAGTCAAGTGTAGGTTTTAGGTCAAAAGGAATAGAAAGTGATGAATCATTCCATCTGTCCCTTAGATATATAGCAAGCATTTCTTTTGTGTTGCGTGAATGAGTAAATTGGGACACCATCTTTCTCAGCATTTTCCGGAAACGTATTTAGCTTGATTTAATTTCCCTCCCATGAATCTCTCAATCTTTCTTGGATTTGGTTGGAATGTCTTCTTTATCCTCAAATTAAAGTTAATTACAATACAAACTTCCCTTAAATTTTATTCAAATCTGTACAAAACCTTAATTCCATTTCAAAATTTATAGTCATCAACCATGAGGTCGTATCTAGTTCAATATTCAGATTAGTCGTGATCTACTATGGCTCTCAGAAACCAGTTATAATTATAAAAACATTTAGACATGCATCCCCTAAAAGAAAGCATCAATTATAAAAAACAACCCTTGGATTTCACCAAAATTATATAGACATTACTCTATTTTCACACTATACGCAACTTATCGTGAAAATAAAAGGAAAGGTTTGTGTAATTATAGCTTAAGTCGAGGAACGTATATTACTTAATTTTTTCTTATTTTAAAGGAAAATTTGTGGAAGTTTTTAAAATATACACAAGAGGGAGACTTGTGTAATTTTATAAATTCAGAGAAAGTTTGTACAATTTACTTTTAAATTTTTAAAGGAAGTCGATATGGGCTTTAAACGATATAGGAAGCATCTATATAATTTAAATAGAACTTATAAAGGAAATTTGTATATGGCTAACTAACTTTGTAAAGATTAGTTCGCATGTATTGAGGTGGCTTATCGTGTTGTTTTTTCACTTACTTAAACAATATGCTTCTTCTATTGCACTCCATTATTAATCTCCAGTTAATTTTGACCACCCGGCTTAATTAAAATTCAAACACAAGTTCCTTGTACTTGCCTCCATTATTCCATGATTGTTCTATGTATGATCTGCAGGTTAATTGAGTGATAATCACTAATTATAACTTCTTTAAACTAGGAAACAAGAGTAAATATAAGGAACATGCATGAAAGATGAAGCTCTAATTATAAAAGGGAAAAAGGGAAGAAGAAAACAACAGAAAAAGCAAATGGTTTCTTCTTGGTACTCCTTTTCTTAATTCTCACTACTCTGTGCTAATCTAACTAATTATGGAGCTCTACGGGATTTCAACTCAAATTTTAAATATTAAATCTTCCCTTGCCACATAATTAAATAAATAAAATTACCCCCTCAATTTTCCCAATTTTTATTAAAATTATATAAAAAATTCATATTTCAAAGGGAAAATTTCGTAGAAGGACTGAAATATTAGAAGTTATAATGCTGAAGGACCGAAAGTTTATAAAATTACTTAAAAGATCAAATTAAAGCTCTTCTCTACAAAAAGGAAAAAATTTGATCAGCGGATTGCCCTTACATGCCACTACACTAATAGATTTTCGATCTCTTATACTTGTAAATTTGTGTTCTCAAAATGCTAAACTCATGGAAACATGAATTTGTATACAAGTCCAAGTATGACTTCAGTATGATTTCTCTTCTTTTCTCCCACCCTTCATTTCATTTCAACTTCGCATATGACTTATCAATTAAATTTCAACAATTTAAATTTAATATTTTGTGATTAAGATATTGAATTCTCTAAAACATGCATAAATAAATTTATATAGTTTAAATTTTATCTAAACAACTTAGAAATGTAATAAGAGAAAGGAATAAAAAATCCACTTTATATATTGAATAACACTATCTAAAGTTGATGGGACAGTCCAAGTATACACGAAATAATAGTGAAGTGGATGGTAGGAGAAATAAAAAGAAATCATACACTTTCTCTTGTGCCTTCATCCTCGTCTCTGCTTTAATGGTTAATTATGATATGGCCCGTGTTTGAAAGCCAGAAAGAAAAATATCTTAAAGCTCAATTCATTAACTTAAAAGCATTTTATATTGAATGGTTTTGCCTGTGATTATGGAAGATATAATGGCTAAATGCTTTGTCTTATCCCAGAAGTCAACTTTCCCTCACGTGGAAAAAGGACACACCAATAGGTAAGCATCGTGAAAGAGCAAAATTAGAAGCTTCAATGAACATAAACCGTTGACTTTTCATTGGAGATTTTGTGCAAATAAATAAAGCGGGGAAATAGGGAAGCACTCAACTCATCAAGGGATCGCGGATGTTCACAGCGAGTTCAGGCTAAAGCTTATATCTATGCCGACCCAAAAAAAAAACCCCATGAGCCTATCCAAAATGGGCTCATCTCTTTTGTGCTTATCACTTGTGCTGTTCAAGGCGATGAGAATTAGACTACTTCATAGCCCAAATTTAAAGTATTAATTATATTTATTAAAACAAAAAATTATAAAAAAATTAATAAATCTTTTCATTATCAATTTAGTATAAATTTATGATAGGTCCATTTTATATGCTGCGTCTGGTTTGTTTTAGCTCCTAATTTGAAGTAATTATGACATAAAAATATATAGAAAATAAAACATATTGCCTCACTAAATATTGTATGTGTTTTGTGCAGAAAGGGAGCCGAAAAGTACCAAAAACACATCAAAGAAAGAAAAATCACACCTTTGGTTATGTCCGGTTGCGGATGAGGAAAAGCTGAAAAGGCTAGTACATTCTTCAATCACGGGCAGATGAAATTACAAAGGATTCGACTGTGGGCACATGAAAGAGCTGGCATGTGCTCTGACCGCGAGTGGACGAAAAATCAAAAGCGCCTAGCAGCTGTAGAATTAATCTCGTATTAAAAGAATTAAAATAAAAGAGGCAAGAGACTTGGGCTAATAGGCTTTTAGGTTTTTATGATGCCAAAACTATATAATAAATCCTCGGGGAGCCTCGTTTTGATTATCCAATTTCATATCTTAGAGCTAGGAGACAGAGCACAGAGCTTGCAGGAGTTCTTCTGATCTAGGAGTTTTCCCTCTTTTCTCTTTTTTGGATTTAGTTTATGCCTTTTATTGGAATATATTTTGCAATAACTTTATTTTATTTGGCCACTCTATTTTCCAAGCTCTCAGTTAGTTGGTAAGTAGCTTGACTGTGATGGATCTTGCTATTTTATTTGGCCATTCTATTTTCCATTGAACATGAACTTTTGTCTATGAGAATTTTTGTTTTATGTATATTTATCTCTCTTGTCCTCTTCTCCTTATTATATATGTGGCTAGCATATAATTTACATGTGGGTAGTTTGATGAATTAGGAGGTGAAGAACTAACCTAAACACAGAGATAGATGTAGATAAGTAAATTAGGAATAATTATGATATGTAGTGACTTGGATCATAGTTTCAAGATCTAATTAGTGTTTTTTGAGTTAGGTGGAATTTTAACAATAGTTAAATACGCCCTAATATACTAAGAAATAATTAGGATAATCTTGATATCTGGTGCTCATTTGATTGATTTGGTTCATCCCTTTTTATTGTTGTTTCTTATTTGCATTCTTTTAATTAATTATTAATAAATATTCTTTTTCAACTATTTGCTCTTATAAAATAACAAAGTTAATTGCTTTTCTTTAGGTTTGACTCCTGAAATACTTCAAAAATTATGACTACATCGATCCTGTACACTTACAGGAGTGATCAATTTAATTTGAGGGTTTCAATTTAAAGTTAAAATTATTAAAATTTTTATATATTGACTACCTAGATGAATTCTAAATAGACTATTTTTAATATTAAAATTTTTTATAATTTTTATAAATTTTATTTTGATAAATAAAATATTAAAAATTAAAATATATAATCTCCTAACTTGTACTTTTTTAAAAATGTTTTTTAACAAATTACAATATAAAATTTTTAAATCTAGACTGTGTAGAATACATCTAACTAATCAAAGTATAAAAATTAAAAAAAAAATTAATGTTGAATTTGACCTTTCAAATTAAATCTAGACTACATTGATAATAAAAAAATTTATTGAAAAGTTTTATAATATAAAATTAGTACTTTTAATCCAAACCATCCAAACTGAAATCTAGATGATCCAGATCTTATCACCATAATGAGCATTGAAAATGATTCTTAACTTTTAATCAGTGTAATGTTATCCCGAAAATTTTTAAAATGGTTAAATGTCATTCTAAAGTAACATTTGACTAACATTGACCATTATTTTGAGTGTTAGAGGGCAATTTTGCCTTGGAAATTTATCTAAAAGAGTAATTAGTTTTCTAAACTTTTGATTAATGTAATATTTTTCAATTATTAACTTTCAAATTAAAAGAGGGGTCCAACACAACTTGTGATAACCCATAATTATAAGAAGATTTTAGGTTAAATTATATTGAATGCCTCTGATTAAGTCAAAATTCATGCTAGTCTCTATTGCCCATTGGTAAGTGTGAACAAGCCTGGCTTGTGCAAGATGAGTACTACTCATGGGCAAAATAAGAACAAATTCAAACTTCAAAAGAAAATCTGTGAAGTGTTTGGGGTAGAGTTAATTTTGCGTAGAAAACAATCCTAGATAAGATCTTTTTGTTAAAATCCAAAAATATGAACTATTTTTAACAATATTAATGGATTGTTAGACTTTTCTTTTGATTCGGACATTGATAATCCAAAAATATTGTGCTAATAGAAAGTTGATGATATTATTTGCTCCTTTAATTTAAAAATACTCTCGGGGCAAAATTATTCTTTAATCCTAGTTAGAATTTTTAACTGATAGTTAATATTGGTCAAACATTACTTTAGAGCAGAATTACACCATTTTTTAAACTTTAGGATAATATTGCTTCAATCAAAATTTAAGGATACTAATTGAACTAAGTGAAGGTGAAAAACTCCCTTCAACCCTAAAAACAATTTACAAGACATAGCCTAATTAATTACATTAAATTTAATTTATAAAATTATGCAATTATAATTCTAAAGTTATA